GTCAGCACGCTAAAGAAATGGCTCACAAATCCTGTCAGAAAACTTAGCAGTGGCAGTCGCTTGGATGCACGTCAAGCTAAAAAAGTTGAAAGCCGGCCAAAGCGAGGTATACCTGGAAGAAGGAGAAGTGCCGATGATGGAGGAAGTGGAATATTTGGACTTGATGTTTTGAGGAAGATGGAGGACTTCACTCAGCCAGAAGAAAAGATTTTGGTGAGGAATATTTTACTCAATTGTCTTACTTAGCTACTAATGTTAGTGTTTATGCATGCACTACATTAGTTAATTATATCTTATAAACCCTCCCAAAATAGCATATAGAAGCCAATAGCCATTGCACTGTTATTCCATTATAATACAAATATCTACCCACAGACTTATACCAACTACATTAATAGCCATAATAACTCTCCATACAGTCTGCCCCTCGTATTACACATATCAACAATTATAATGTTTGTACTCACCAAAAAGAAAGACAGATCTACTTTACTACTGTTGGTGTTACACTCCTGCTGTAGAGATACAGAGGAATACATAGGGCCTGGTGAATAGGGTAAAGACAGTGGGAGTAAACAGGGTAAAATATGGCTTATTTAATTTACCAGTAAATCAAGATAGTAGCAGATATATTACAATATAGTTGTTTCCTTTTACCACTCAAACCAACAGAACCAGAAAAAGTTGGGGCCTGAAAGTGATTCTAACACATATTAGATAAAATAGTTCTAAAATTAGCTGGCGAGCAGGAGAATAATCAGTACCATTAAACTAATTTTAGAATGCATCACTCAGAATTGCACTTTGTAGAGTGTGAGCTACAGGGAAGAGCCCTTGAAACTAATGCATCATTCTCTCTGGTTTTCAAATTAACTCTTTCACTGTTGAGAGGTTTTTTTGTTGTTGCTATTTTCATTTTGAAGGAATGTTGTACATAAAGAAATACAAAATAAGGATAATAATTAGAAGAATAAAAACGGAACAAAATATTAGGATGACTTCAAAAGAACTGTAGAGGTTTACCCAGGGGACCAAAGATGGGCTGCAGATATTGATAATAAATATTAAACCTTGAACATTAGTCATCCGTCGCTTAAAAAAATCGCTGGGATTTACAGATCATATTTTACAGTTTAATTTTGTTAAAAAAACCCACACAACTAAAAGAAAAGTAGAAAAAGGAAAAAAAGTAGGGGTGGGAATTTAGGAGGAACAGGGTGACCATCAGTTAGACATATGAAGAAAGCACAAGTTCCTTCATGACACTCATATTGCTCAGTCTACTGTGAAAATGCTCTGAGGTGTCAACCACATCTCTCCATCTCTGGCAAATCTTTACCGAGGGAAATCCCATAAGGATTCCCTTTGAGAAGTGCTAAACTCAGAAAGTTATTCTAAAATGTTTTATCCAGGACTTGTACCAACAAGGAACACATTTTGAAATGGAACCATTTAACCATGATACACCAGCAGCAGCCATGTATGTGCAACCAGCCTCACCTACATCCTCTGAAGCACTGCAATGGCAACGTAGATCTCTAGACATGTCTAAGCATCACACAGTCTTAGTATAACCATGAGACACACTTGAATCCATATTCCTTGACCGTTGTACGCGTGGTAATCTTAATATCGGATATAACCCCGGTCTCCCACTGCTGATATTTTAAAATGCTTTTATTTATTTTGCAAACATACATAAAAACAATCACAGAATTTGCAAATCCGAGCCAGAAAAAAAAGTAAACTTATAGATAAAAATTTAAACAAGATATTGGATATTGGGTTTAAAAAAAAATAATCCAAAGAAAAAAAACTAAAACACAATAAAAAAAAAGGATACTTAAAGGGGTACTGCAGCCAAAAATACCATCTTAAAAAACAGTTTGAGTAATCTTTGCTGACGTCTGAAAGAGAGGAAAAAAATGCAGAACGTACCTGCGATCTCACGGTGCAGTTTGACATGATTGGCATGAGATTGCAGGAAGTTGTGTTTTATTAGTTCATTTTTTTTAATCTTTTTTGGGCGCGAGACTGTCAGTAAAAGTTACTGTAACAAAAAACTAATTTTTAAAAACATTTTAAATTTTTTTTATTTAAATTACAGTTTTTTGGCTAAAGTTACCCATTCAAATTAGTGTTACTGCTCCATATTCATATATGGAGTTGTCAGGGGATAGACCTCGACTTAAGTTGTGGATACAATGCGTGGATGCAGTACCTTAAAAACTGGATAAAATCAATGCTGCCAAAGAGGGTGCCTGCTCTATTAATACTTCATCAAGTTGAAGTGGTTGTGGTTCTGGGAGTAACCCTTTGATTAGATTCTTGTCAGTGCCAAAGATCTATGCATCTATGAAAAGTAAACAATCGCCTGGGGATCTGATGAATAAGATGATCCAATCCCACTCTATGGGAATTAAATAAATAGCATGAGGGGCTAAATTTGGGCTCTCAGCTCAGAAGTTAAAACTAGCGTTTTAACCCCTTAAGGACACATGACACGTGTGACATGTCATGATTCCCTTTTATTCCAGAAGTTTGGTCCTTAAGGGGTTAAAGGAAGGACACAGTTAACATCCTTTGTATTTCAGAAAATGTTGGATTTGTTTTGAATATTCCACTAAGTAGTAATCCTGCAGTGCAATGACTCACAGCTCAGGGGAGGTTTGGTCTAAGGATATGGAAATCCCTACTGTTTCCATAATGCATAATTTATCTGCAAAGAAAAATGTCTTGTCATCTTCCAAGCAAAGTGCCTCTCCGTTCCGCTTCTTCTCTATTGCTATTATTGTAGAACTCCTTTAATATATTTTTCTTCTTGAACATTTTTATTCAGTAGACCTTTATTTATTTTTTTACTGAAAAGTAGTTAATTCAAACATGAAAGAAAATGATTTCCATATTCTTGCGATTTTTCTGAAGCCCTTGATCAGATAAATTCCCTCTTGGTTACCAGCTTCAGCCTCTTCTTTTAGACAATTTTCTATTTATTTCCAGATATTAGATCACTTTTACTAAACCAGTGATTTAAATGAGAGATTGTTTTCTAATGTTTAAACTACAGAAGAGTTTTCTGTGTTTTTTAATAGAATTCTATTTTCTAAAAGGAATTATGCACTGACTCAGTTCTCGGATGGATGGATGGACCTCATTGGCCATTATGTATCATTAGGCAAGAAGTAATGCCTAGAATTAAACACTGCCTATCCCACACTAACATCCATGTTTCAGAACAGTGTTTTATTATGGCAGTGATGATTGACATTGGCTGTCATCCTTCGTGTTCCCTAACCAATATAGGAAATGCGCTTTGCCAATATTTGGGGTGTCAGGGTTAGTAATCAACAGTTATATATCAGCAGTTATTTATTAATAAACAAAGCTGTCTCTTCCAATAAAGGGCTAGAACAGTGTCTAAATGATGACATTTTATCATACTTTAAAGGAACACTATAGTGTTCAGAATACAAAGCTGTATTCCTCTGCCCCCGCACTCCTCCCCCCAACTTTGTAAGGATTGACACACCATGATTTTACTTACCTCATTCCAGGGATACGGTCCTTTGGTGCTGATTGTGCCTCTTCCAATGTCACCGCGAGGTGGAATCTAATGCTCCCAGGAATTGACTAAGTCTTTTGACTAATTCCTGGCAGCCCATTGCTTTCAGTTTGTGTTTAGCATTACACTCACGCTTCTTAAATATGTCTCTGGGAGTAATGCAACTGACATTTAATTATTATTATTATTATTTTATATGCAACAGTGACTTCCATGTACTTCCTTCACTGATATTTATTATTAACATTTATATAGTGCAAAAAATTTTCGTAGCTCTTTACAGTGATAAAATGGGATTATTTGACTGCAAGAAATTGACCCGAGGTAAAGAAGGCCTTGAATTAAAGACAGGTCATGGGACAATCTCTTTAGTGCGTGCACATTATAATAAATCAATGATAATGATTTCTGAGAAGTATATACCTGTCTTTTTTTGCCTTTAAGGGGTGGGTTTAATGCAACTTGTGCCATGGACAAAACAGTACAAGTTGTAGGTAATCCTGCACTGTAACTTTCTTTTAACTTCTTCTCTCATTTACCCCTCTAGGGATGGAAAGAATTAGACGCCCCTGATACTCATCCACTGCCAGACCTGTCTATATTGAATGATTTGTTACAAGAGGTAACCACAGAATCCGACAACAAGGTGGGCACTATCTTAAATCTTTCATCTTTCTCTTTACTTTATTTCACGGATGAGGCATCTCTAAAGAAAACCTTTGGCACAAATTAAAAGCTTGATGTTAGCTGTCAAACCAATCATTCATATCCGCTATCTGGATGATATTTTTTTTTTAAGAGTATAACTTTCAGTTATCCATCAGCCCTGTTATCAGAGGATAGTCAGTGATCTATTACAATAGATGCCATTTGGCTCAACAGATTATCAGTTTATGAAACATGATGTCAGCAAAGAGCAAATTCTACCTGCTGATCTGAAATTTGTCCACCTGTTGAGGCTTCATCTGAGGCATAAAGTGAAAATGCTGCTATTTGAAATCCAATCAATATCCCAGGAATTTAGTTTATTTAGAAAATATTTTACCTTGAAG